CATATATGAACTTCAAAATAACATTGGCTAATCTAATCCTACTCATCACAACTCGCCAGGAACACCCCCACACTATAGGGTCATTGTGTAGCCCTGCTTAGAAGGAAAAGGTTTTGTGCAAGGTCCGTATGGCTCACCGTGTAGTCGGCCTGAGAGAGATGGGCGCTGCCGCGCATATGCGGGCCCCGTCCCAGCGTGCCGCACGAGAGCGTCTCGGTCAGACGCACAGCGAGCCGAATGCTCCCCAGAGACCGTCGCCGGCTTGCGTGATCAGTGGGCCGACAGTGTCTCGCGTGCAGTCGTCGAGGACAGAGGCGGCGTCCTGCAGCGCGGGTGGGAGGGCGGCGCGGCGCTTGAGGGCGGCGGACGCTCCGATGGCGACAGGGGTGGTCTGAGTCGGGCGGCGGTGGTGGTGGTGACGAGCAAGGACGGGCTCTGCGGTGGTGCAGCAGACGGAGGCGCCTGGATGCCCAGAAAGATGCAGACGTTGGTCTCGTCCTTGCAGTTCCAGACATAGTTGAAAAAGACCGGGACTGCGCCTGCGGAAGGCGGAGAGCGCTTCAGCCAGCAGAGCGCGAGGGCACGCGGTTGGGAACCGCACCGGCATAGTCGCCGATGATGGTCGGGAGGTCGCATGGCAGCTCGTCGGTCGCCCGTGGCTCGGCCTGTAGGAAGGCTGCAGGTACCTCTGGGGCAGCCGCCGCGACCTGCTCCGCAAATTCGGCCGGCTTGGACGGCTCGAGCTCGGACGTCTCGACCGGCGCGCCGGACACGACGGCGAGGAGGCCGACAAAAGATGAGAACAGCACCGCGTCGCAGGCGATCAGCTTCGGCGGGAAACCCATGCCGACCAAGGTGGTAAGGAAGGGGTGGGCCCGCCGCCAAATTATGTCACGTTTCAAAAGAATTTACAAAAAGCAGGGAGCGCCAGTCCCGTGCCCAGTGTCGTGCGAGAAAAAAATCGAACAGCCCGCCCCTCTACAGCAGAAACTCCTCTCCTTAAAATCCCTGTGTGGTGGCGGCGTGCCATCCTCCCATTCCAGATGTTGTGTCAAATAGTCTCTTTCAAACTGACGCGGGCCCAGTACCTCGATGAGGGAGAGATTTTAGAAAACCAACAAGAAATCACGACTCTCACAGTGATTTGGGCTCGGCAGCTTGTCAGCCCTCAGCCGAAGCTGCGCTGGGGCTTCTTTCTTCGATGAGGTGACTTGGACCACCAAAAGCTGGCTGGGGCTGCAGAAGCAGCGCATCTCAGTCGTTCTTCACACGGCCATCGCAGAGCAGATTGTGAATGAGCTTGCCTGCGGCGAGGGCGGTCGAGTGCACGGAGCTAAGTGCCTCGCCGTCCTCGCAAGGAGTCGCTTAGGCGGCTCCCGTGGTGTACCTGTGTTAGTGCCAGTGCGCGCCAGTCCCGTGCCCCGTGTCGTGCGAGGGAATTTTGTTGCAAAATTCATTCTTTCAGCAGACTGGCTCGGACTGGCACTACGAAAGGCAAGAGAGATTGTTGGTTTTCAAAAAATCTCTCTCTGAAAAGCTAAGGCACAGGCAACAAGCAAAAGAATTTTACAATCAAACTCCCTCTCACGACACTAGGCACGGGAATTCTCGCACTGCTGGACACGTTTCTCGTTGGCGTCCGTTATATTCACACGTCGTCCTCCGACGAGTCGGCGTCGGAGTCTGGGGGGGTGGGAGGGTCGGGGCGCACCCGCTCGCGGTCCTTGGTCGCCTTGCCGCCCGCTCCGCCGCCGTCGCCGCCGCCACCGCCGCCTCCCGGTGGGGGGTCCTCCCCGTCGGGTGCGACGGGCTGGGCGGATTCAGCCTCGAGCCGCTCGAGCCGCTTGCGAAGCACTCGTAGCTCCTCGGCCGAGTCCACAGGAGCGGGAGGCGCGGCTGGGGCCCCGTCGGTGCCCCCGCCAGCCCCCGAGGGAGGGGGCTCCGGCCCAGAGCCATCCTTTGCCTCTGCGGGCCGTACGCCTTCGTCAGCGTCGGAAGCGCGCTTTGGCGCGGATTTGCCCATATCGTTGGGCGCACGGAGGGAAGGAGAGGTGGGCTCCTGCCCGAGAAGGTCGCGGGACCTGCGCAGAGCTCGCTCTGCGTGATGCCGCTCGAGCTTGGGCGTGCACGCAAGGGGTCACGCGCAAGCAAGAGCAAACAACTGGGAAGTTCACAGCTGAGCTTACCCAAAGAACGCCGTTCTCACCCATATAACCTTCGCGTGGGGGTGCCGCGTCCACGACCACGTCCTGTTTTTGTCACCTGTGATCACGTGGCCCTCCGCCTGAAGTTTCTAGTTTGTAATATTGTAAAATTAATATTTGCGATTTGGCTTTTGTCTAACTCTTTATTTATTTATTTAACACTGGACACCTGTGTTGCTGTGTTAGTTAGTGCCAGTGTGCTCGCCAGCCGCCAGTCGCACAGTCCCGTGCCCAGTGTTGTCTGTTGTGAGGGAGAAAAGGAATTTGGCAATGGCATGGCGGCGCCTCAGCTCAACCCAGCCTCTCAGGACCAAACACCGCGCACAGGGGCAGGAAGAGAAACACGGCCTGCACTGCGTTGAGCCCAACCGCGGCCGTCACCAAGTGGGAGAGCGAGAGCAGAAAGGGGAACTCGCACCCAAACATGAAGAGCAGCGAGCCGCAGGTGGTGAGCGCGCCGCCGAGCCTATTCGCAGCAGTCGCAGTTTGGGTGCCAGTGCGCACTTCGAGGCGGACAGGGGCGATGCGGCGCACAATGTGGGCCCCATGTGCACGGCTGCAAACGCGACGCGCTCCTCGCGGGTGGGGCTCTTGCCGGCGCGGCTCGGCGGCGCGGCGCGGTACGCCGTGGCGAGGTGTAGCGCGTAGTCAAAGGAGAAGCCGGCCATCACCGCGACGCCGCACATCTCTCGAATCCCGAGCTCGACGCCTACTCGCAGCGACACGGGGGCGACGCGTCGAGTGCGGAGGCGCCGTCCGGGGTGTGCGACGGGCGGGGAGCGGCATCTCTCGTCACCGCAGAGCTGAGCGGCGCCCAGCACGGAGCCGATGACGCCGGCGACGGTGGCGGTGGCGAGGGAGGCGAGGGCGAGTGAGCGAGTCGCAACGGCGACGATCACATAGCACAGCGCGAACGCTGCGGCGAGCGAGCTGCTGAGCGCGTGGAAGAGCCGCGGGTAGAGCGACGCCACGGCGAAGGCGGAGACGAGCACGCGGCCGGTCTCCTTGCGCGATGCCTCCTGGTACACGATCGGGAAGGCGCGGCGGAGCGGTGGCGGCGCGTCCGCGAGCAAACGGCTGAGCACGGTGTCCCACAGCGCGCGCAGCTCGAGCCAATCGAGCCAAGTGGCTTGCGGGTACGAATAGGTGGTGAGGAAGGGCAGGCACAGGAACGCCAGCTCCGAGTCGATGAAACCCACTTGGGAACGGTACGGGGCGCCCCGCGACGAAGCGAGCCAAGAGTGGATTGCAACTGTGAAATTGCCGCGGTGGCCACTAGGCAGGCCTGTCACAGGCGGCGATGGGTCGAACAAGGGCGCATCACGAACCGAAGCGTCGCCGCCGTCGCCGCCGCCGCTGCCGCCGCTGCCGCCGCGGCCAGCGCCGCCGTCGGCCACGCTGTCAGCCCCGCTGGGTCCGGCGCCGCCGCCCGCACCGCTGCCACCGTCGTCTTTTGTGAGGCCCGTCGTGTTGGTGGAGTGGCGCCTCGCCCTCTCTCGCTGCTGCCGCGCCTTTTCCTCCTTTTGGGCCGCAACCTCGACGTTGTGTCGTCGCCACGCCTCGAGAAAGAAGAGCGGCGCGCCCTCCCGCACGAGCGTCGGCGGTCGGCAGAGCCGCAGCTCGCACGGCTCACGCGGCAGAGCAGCGGAGAGTCCGAGGAGCGCGCGCTGAGTGTCCGCGTCGGACAGATCAAATCCGGCGTCCAACACGGGACGGCCGCGCTGCGTGTCAATCGCAAAGCGCGAAGTCTCATCGGAGCGGTCGATGGCGGCGAGGCCGAATACCACGCAACCCGGCAGCGCGGTTGTCCGGAGGCTGCCGCCGTGCGCCGCCGCGCGCACCTTGTCGTCATCCTCTAGCGCGGCGGCGGCGCGACTGAACATGTGGTCGGGGAGAAGCATGCTCTCCTGCGTTCGTGGCAGCTGCAGCCGCGCCGCCTGCCGCCAAAGCAACGCCGAAACGCCTCCGAGCACCGCGATGAGCCCAACGGCGAGAGGCTTCAACTTGAGCCCGGCGCTGCCAGGCCGGGCGAGGGGCAGCCGCAGCTGCCGCGAAGCGTTGAGCTGGCGCGCGTATGACTCAAACCAACGGCGTACGATCGGCCGCCCTCCTGGGGTCAGCTCGCCGGCGCCCCGGTCGCCGGCTGCCTGATCCTCGACGGGGCTGAGCTGCTCCTCGACATCCTACAGGCGCAACACGCTCGCGCTGGGGTGGGAAGAGCGTAGCCCGCACCCTGCCTCTCCCGCGGAGCGCTCGCCTCGGCGCTGCTGACGCGGCGGAGGGGCGCGTGGCCGTGCCGGACTCGCACCGTCAGCTCGCTCGAGCACAGCCACGAGAGAGCGCAGGACACGGCGGCGGCGGCGGCCTGCCTGGGCGGGTGGCGCTCGTGGAGGATGACGAGGCAGGGCCAGAGGGTGAGGGTGAGCGCGTAGTCGATGGCGACAGACAAGCCGGCAAAGATGCCGAGCGAAGAGACCACCGGCAGCGGGGTCAGCGCGAGGGCCCAAAAGCTGAGCGCGGTCGTGAGCGAGGTCGTCAGCAGCGCGGGGCCTGCCCTCGCCAGCGCGGCCTCGACGTGCTCCGCCTCGGAGCGCGGCTCGCGCTGTCGCCGCCCGCCCGGCGGCGGTGTCCCCTTGCGGTCCTCACCCCCTCCCCCGCTGCTCTCGCCGCCAGCCTCCTCGCCCCCTCCCCCTGCGTCCGCACCCTCGTCTGGCGCAGGGGCAAACCGCTCGAGCTGCCACGCCGACATGAAGACGAAGAGGTCGTCCGCGCCGATGCCGACGAGCACGAAGAAGGCGAGCGTTGAGATGGCCGCCGTCATTGGCACGAAGAGCGCGTACAGAAGCCACGAGATCGGGAGCGCGGCGAGGATCTGCCAGATGCCGAGGGTCGCGAGCCAGCGCGAGCGGAGATGCAGCGCCATCAGCACCCACACGAAGAGCACGGAGCCCGCCGACCACAGCACTGCCTGGTCGGCGAGCGATACCGCCTGCAGCCGCATGCAGAGTCGCGAGCCGTGATGTGGGCGGGGTCCTGAGCTCCTCGCCTGGCTGTGGTGTGGCTGTGGTGTGGCCGTGGTGTGTGTGTGTGCGTGCACGTGTGCGTGCACGTGTGTGTGGGGGGGGGGGGGCGGGGGGGGCGTGCGAACGTGCGAGCGTTGTGGGTGTGGTTATGTGTGGATGTGGATGTGGGGATTTGCCTCGGAGCGGGAAAGCTCCATCGATCCGAGGTAGTCAGCCTGTTCATGGCAAGGCAACGTGAGGCGCGCGCGGCCGTGCGGTCGTATGCGCATCGAGTTAAAGGGCGGAGGGGCGGAGGGGCGGAGGGGCGGAGGGGCGCGAAGAGTCGCGGGGGCCCGAGGCGCGCGAGAGGAGAAGAGGAGCCGAGGAGCCACCGGGCCGCGACCTGCAGAGCGTGTGGCAGTGCCGCGTGGCCTCGCCAGAGAGACGAGATGGGCGAGGGCGGCCGTAGTGCGAGGCCGGCCGCGAGCGACTGCGCGAAGCGCCTCTCGAGGTCGTTGCGGAGCTGCAGCTGCAGCGAGCGCGCCTCGTCGTCGTTTGGCGCGATGCCGCCCCCGATGTAGCTGAGCAGCCGCGGGTCGAGCGGCTCGCCAAAGGAGGTCACCTGAGAGGGGCGGCGCGGAAAGGTGTGCGGGGAGAGGGCCGCGCCACATGGGGGGCCGCGGTGCCTCCGTGCGCGCGCCGAGGAGGCTTGCGACACGTGGCCGCGCGTTGCGGCGCTCGCGTCGACGAGCGGAGAGAGTTGCTCGCGCACGGTCCGGGCCACGGGGTCGCTGGGGCTGCTGGCGTTGGCGCTGGCCGTGCCGCCGGTGGCGGCGAGCTCGAGCAGCTGCGCGGCGCGCGCCTCGACGTACTCTTGCGGAAGGAGCGGGCAGCTGCGCGTGTGGCTGCCTCGCTCGAAGCCGGCCGAGGTGGCGAGGAGCAGCTCTCGGCTCACGGAGGGCGGAGGCTCGACGACGCGCGCAAAGGGCGAGACGCGGCGCAGCCAGCGCAGCTGCTTCTCGATAGCGAGGACCAGCTGCCAGTTGACGTAAAAGAAGGCGGTCGGCGATGTGAGCTGCAGCGAGCAAGAGCGGCCGGACATACTCGAGCGCGAGGCGAGGCCGGGGATCGGCAGCGCGCCGTCGTAGCAGAGCAGGTCGTAGCCGTCGGTGCCGAGGAGCACGTTGTCGACCTCACAGATGGCCTGCGGGCGCGCGATTGGATCAGAGAGGGGAGCGTGGCATGCGCAGGGAGGCGTGCGCGGGCGGCGAGCCTGCAGCCGCTCCGGCGTCAGCAGCGGCTCACCTCCAGCTGAATAGACGAGCACCACGGCGCTGTCGAGCGAGGAGAGGACGGTGCGAGGGCGTGCGCGGCTACCAGCCGCCCAGGCGTCCGCAGCCTTGAGTGCGGCGTTGGCGAGGTCCATCTCGTCAACGGCTGGCGCTCCTCGTACGAGGAGTTCGAACGCGCCATAATTTTGAAAGTGCGTGCGGCCAAGCAGCAGGAGCAGGCCGCCGCTGACCCACGCCGAGGCGAAGAGAAGGGAGGCGAGCGCGCAGGCGTGGCGGACCAGGAAGCCGCTGTAAGCTTTCAGCATTCTTCGACCGCCGCGCAGCAGGCGCCGTCCCCTTCAGGAGGTCAGACCGACCAAGTGTGTGTGTGTGTGTGTGTGTGTGTGTGTGACGTGAGGCGCATGCGCCCAGGATGGGAGGGGGCATGCGTAACGACACTGCTAGAGATGCCTTTCGGGGCCCAGAGACAAAACTTCTGATGCCATGCGTGACCTAGTAGTGTCCCCAGCTATGGGCGTGTCCACGTTGGAGCCACAGGTGTGGTGTGGACGCGAGAATAGCTCCGCCGTTCATGGAGGCAACCGATGCGAGTCGACTGGTGTGTGTCGTCGTGGTTTCGTATCAAGAATACTCACTCACTCACGACCAAGTGACTGGGACACATCAAGTGCCGGAGTCCCAGTAGGTACCCAGTGAGCCGCCCACTGGGTCGATATGGGCCCCAATGGGCGAGGCGGCTCGCCCCCACTGGGCCCCCGCCCCCTCCCCAGTGTGCAGCTCGCTCGGTCTCCCCAGTCCCCACTGGGCAGGTCTCGGTCTCCCCACTGAGGGAGAAGAGACTCCCACTGAGCCCCCCACTGGGAAGCTCCTTCTTACCACAACCGAGTCTCTCGGGGAACAACGAGCTTCCCACGCACACTGAGTCTCTCAAGAAGGAGCTTCCCAGTGGGGGGCTCAGTGGGAGTCTCTTCTCCCTCTCAGAGCTCAGTGGGGAGATCGAGAGCTGCCCAGTGGGGAGACCGAGAGCTGCACACTGGGGAGGGGGCGGGGGCCCAGTGGGGGCGAGCCGCGACCCACTGGGTGGCCCCACTGGGGCCGCGGGCGGTCTCCCCAGTGGCAGTGGTGGAACCTACAACCTTGCTTGCAGTCGTATACGCTACACCTCCAGTACTTGCACCGGCACTTGATGTGTCCCAGTCACTTGGTCGGTCTGACCTTCCTAAGGGTTACCCGGTAGGGGAGAGAAGGCGTTGCGCATATTTCATGCTGGTCGTAGTCAGGCGTATACACCTTCCTTCTAATTAGTAATTTTTCCCGCCCGATCAAGGCACGGCCAAAGAGCCGTCACCGGTGCAGGACCACGTCCGCCTTTCACGTGACCTCCGCCGCCCCCCTGAGCTTGCGCCGCTTGCTGCTCTCCTCCGCCTCGCGCGGCGCAAGCGCGAGCGGCGTCTGGGCCTAAAAAAGTAAACATAAGGTCGGACGAACGAAATCACAAGCGGCGCGTCTGCGCCTGGGCGACAAACCTGTGCGCGAGGGCGCAGCGGCGGCGCCCCCTCGCCCTCGCCCTCTCCGCGCGTCTCCTCGGCTAGCTCGCCAAAGACGCTCGTGCAGGGCGGCGAGAAGGAGGTTGGCCCTACGGGCGCCGCCCCCGCCGCGCCGCCCTCAGCCGCCGCGTCACCCGCCGCCGCCTCGCCGATCTGCGCCGACAGCCAGCCGGCCGCCGCGTCGACCGAACCGACCAGCTGCGCGTCGAATGCGTGGCCTTCGACCCGACTCGCAGCGAGCAGCAGGCGAGGCACGTGGTGCGACAAGCTCGCGAGGATCGACGCTGCGTGCGTCCCCGCCGGCGGCGGCTGGCCGAGCACGAGGCAGGCGTCGGCGCGCGGCAGCTGCGTGCGTAGGCCATCCTCCAAGCCGCGGCACGGAGCCGGGTCGTCCGTGCACGCGAGGGCGGGGACGATGTGGTTGAGCTCGTGGCTGCCTAGACAGGTACGGCGCCCGCCTTGAGAAAGAAAGCCGCCGAGACGACACGACGCGGCTGAGCGCGTGGCTGCAGCTGCTGCAGCGCAGCTCGGCCGCCCTCGCGCCGTCGTGCGCCGCGTCTGCGACTGCGCCGAGCCGAGCCGGGTCCGCCGGCGCGCGGCAGACACAACAGTGCGCCAGCCGGACGGAGCCGTGCAAGTGGCTGACGCGGCGCACGCCGGCGGCGCTCTCGAGCCCGTCGACGTTCGCCTGATGAATGAAGCATGGATCCTCATGAATGCTCAACACGAACGGCGCTCTCGATCCCGTCGTAGTTTGCCGAGTAGGCGTGCAGCAGTGAGCCGCGCCTCTCGAGCTGCGCGAGCAGCTTGTGGCACGTCGTCGGCACACACTCTCTCCGGCGCAGCTCGTGCAGCAAATCGTACAGCGGCGCGGGGTTCGCCACAAAGCTGCTCATCTCGAAGAGCCTGTCATGATCAGCAGTCGTTAATTCTCGACTGATTAATTGATGACAAAGCTGCTCATCTCGAAGAGCCTCTCCGGCGTCGCGAGGCCGTGCCGCGCCGCGACGCGCTCAAAGAGGTTGGGCGAGCCGTCCACCGGCCGCGCGCCAGCGGGGCTCGGAAAGCATGGGAAGCCGGACGACTCTGACGCGTCCGCGCCGACCAGGACAAGCACGGCAGACGCACCGGCGAGGATTCGCGCGGCGTCGGTGGCGGTGGTGTCGCCTGCCGAGGCGGGCCGGGACCGTGGCCGGCAGAGCGAGCGGCACTCGGCCACCAGGTACGCAACCCGCAGCCAGCGCTCCTCCTCGCTCTCGCTGGCCTCGCTCGCGAGGCAGAGGCCGAGATCCGCGAGCACGTCCTCCGGGCTCTCGCGCCGGGCGCGGCGGCCCGAGATCCAGGCGCTCACCGCGGCAGGCAGGACGTGCGACGCGCGGCTCGAGCTCGTTGGCCATTCCATATTGTTTTCTTTTTTTGAGTAAGTGCTATTTAATCGAGGCTGTCGCCGCCTCGGAGGGCCTGGTGCTCGTGCGCTGCGCCTGGGCTTGCTCAACTGGGTGTTCACAGCCTTGTTATTGAGAAGAAAATACCTGGTATGGCGCTGTGCGCTGCCGCTGGTCTGTGTACTGTGAGAGGTTCACACAAAAACACAACCCCGGCCCCAAGACGCACAAGCTCAGACAGTCGAGAAAGGGATAGACAGCAACGACAGTCAGAAGTCAGCGCTGGGTCCCAGGGCGAATGCGATGACGGCCTCTAGTGTGAGCTCTAGCTATAGTGAGCTCATCGCTACTATATGCAGCGAGTTAGGAGCCGACCGACCCTCGCGTCCGGTGCTCACCGACGGCCGAGCGGGCCACCCGCCCACGCGCCGCCTACGCGCAGCGCGTGCGCCGCAAACTCGCCCGCCGACAGCGCCGGCCAGACGCCATCGGCCGTCGCGAGAGGCCAGGGCCCGGCTGTCGCCGCGGGGCCCCCACGAACACCACGCGTCGGATGCGGTACCGAGCGAACTCGCGCGCAAAGTGCACGCCCCACGCCCGCCGCAGCGTCGTAGCGAAGTAGGACCGCGCCTCCCAGCCGCTCGAAGCTTTGAGCCGTTCTTAAATTTTGGGTATTGGTGATGCCACAAGAGACAAGGGTTGGGCGTGCTCCTCACTCCCTTCGTTGCGTTCCTTTGGCATGGAACGTTTCATGTAACCTGTGCTGAGGCTTGCTCCGCCTCCGAGGAGCCTACAGACCGTAATCACAGGCCGTCTGAGCACCTCACAGGCCAATGCACGAGCGAGGGGGCGTCGGTGGAGTCCTCTTCACAGCTGCATGCCTTTCCTCCTTTAGGTGCTTCTAAGTATGTTCCGATTCCTATGTCCGAGACTGCTGAGTGAGTACACTGCGCCTGCTTGCTTTCTCTTTTGTGCTCGGCGTCTGATCTCGGTTGTCGGTATTGCCGTTTTGCCGTTTTGCCGTTTTGCCGTTCATCTCGTTCCTTATTATACTATATTCGACGTCTTGCTCATATGCGTTTTTCCGGGACCGGGGGTGGGTTCCGATTCGTTTCCGATTCGTTTTCCAGTTCCCCCTCCCTGACGAAATTCTTGCCCCCTCTCCTTGCCGTACATACACAGAGTGCAAGTGGTCTCACGACTCACGTCTCAGCCCCCACAGTACCGTGTCGCCTTTCTGGCTGTTTCATCGTGACTCCCGCTCGTTCGTGTATCGTGAGACGGTGAGAGGCAGACGAGACTCGTCTGTCGGGACTCGAGTGCGTGGGTCGCGGGTCGCGCTGTGTCGTCCGCACGTCGTCTTCGACTCGCGCGATAGCACCGTCCTCTACCGTAACGAACGGAGCCATAGACAGATGCGTCATGGAGGAGCACCTCAAGGCAGGTATCTGAGTCGTTAATATGAAACATCTGCTGACAAGACGTCAAGCGAAGCCAGGCCAATATCAGAAAACTGGCCAGCCTGTCTCCGGCGGACACCTGGGCTCCATGGCGCACGTCGACATATTTTGGTGCCGGCTGCGGCACCAGCTGCATTAATGTCCGAGCGTGGCTCATATTCTTGCGGAGGCAGACCGCCTTGGCAAGCAACAAAGAATGGCACGTCGTACCCCAAAGTGAGCTCTCCGTCTTGACGATGCTCGGCTCGAGGAAGGCGCGCCACGCCACGGCTGGTGGAGGTGCGTGGTGGGGCTTATGTGCACCCACCGAAAAAGTGATCAACCCGCCACGACTGCAGCACGCGGCCGCTCGTCACATCTCCGCGTTTGAGCCACCGCGGAGCGTGCATAACGCGCGCCGCGTCGACATGATGCACGTACATTCACATACATATGCACACTAGATGCTAAGGTCCGACCTGTGGGCACACTGGCCTGCGCTCGGCACCGGGCACCGTCTCGGTATACAAAATGCGCCTGCGGGCGGACCCTCACAGCTCACAGATCACTAGATGCGGTAGCCGCCGTCGTCCACGACGCCCGAGCCCCGCGAGAACGGGTTGTTGGACGGATCGGAGCCGGATCTCTCGGCTGGCGTCTCGAGCATCCTCCTGCCCCCCTTGCCGCGCGGATGCTGGGGCGCCGGCGCGTCGATGGGCACGCCGAGCACGCTGGAGAGCTCGTGCGCACGGCCGAGGGGCGGCATGCCGGCGTCCACGCGCTCCTTGTCGGCGCAGAGGCAGAGGAAGATCGTGTCGATTGCCATGTTGTAGACGCCAAAGAAGACGAGCGCGACGGCGAAGGCGGCGAAGAAGATGCACACCGCGGGCGCGAGCGGCGAGTAGAGCGCGGAATCGTACGGCGGCGCCTGCACGAGGATGCGCCAGCCGAGGAACGCGCAGCCCGCCGCGACGAGCAGCTTGCCCAGAAAGAGGAAGGCGGCGGCGACGAAGCGGAGCGAGGCGGCACCGGCGAGGTTGGTGGTGAGCAGGCGGACCGCCTCGGCCGCAGAGGGGCAGAAGGAGCGCTTGGAGCGCATCATCTGGGCGTACGCGTAGCGCGAGAGCGCCTCGAGGCTCTTTTCGACGCACTTGAGGCAGCAGCTGATGCAGCAGAGGCACATCGCCGCGAGGCGGTTCGAGCCGTTGCAGCCGCACGCGTCCAAGCCGCGCGAGACGCGCTGGTAAAACGTGCGCTTGAGCAGGAAGAAGGCGATGCGGATGAGCTTGAGCGTGGTGATGAGCAGCGAGCCGGCGGCGATCGAGCCGGCGTGGTACCGCAGCGCGTGCCAAAGGCCGAGGGCGACGGCGGAGCCGCCGCAGCAGCGCGTCGCGCTGCGGTCGGTGTTGCGGTGCAGGTACCACTTGGTCACCGCGCCGCCGACCGCCGCGTGCTGCGTGTGACGCACAAAGACGACGAGCCAGATGGAGACGACGATGGCGACGAGCAGCAAGTACTCGGTGCGCGAGTCGAGGTAGAGGGAGCCAAAGCCGGGCCTGCCGGGGCGAAGCGTGGGCGAGGAGGGCATGCCGTCAGAGGGGGCAAGGCGCGCGAGGAGGGCATGGGGTGATGCCGTCAGAGGGGGCAAGGCGAGTCTAGCTGCAGGGGAGAGCTGCGAACGCCTGCCGTAGGCGATCTCGCCGCAGGAGGCCAGCAGCAGCAGCAGCATCCCGCCGCCGCAGAGGGCGCCGATGGCAAGGCTGGCGCTTGCGAGCGGCAGAATCAGCAACGCTGGCAGCTGCCCGACCGCGAGGGCGGCGACCGCGAGCGCCCGCGCTGCGAGCTGGATCTGCGACAACAAAGGGTGGGGTGGGTGGGTGGGTGGGTGGGTGGGGTCCCAC